AGCTTCTAATGCCGGCCATACATGGGTCGATTTTCGAGTGATTTTTTTTTTTTTTTTTTTAAATCGGACCTAAGAATAATCGGACGATTTTCGCTCTGTTAGTGGCCAATGGCACAAGCCGATTTTTGTGGTTCCTCCCCATTTCGTTTATCGGGCATGCTGGAACATTTGTGAAAAACAACAGATTTTCAAAATCATTGGTGGCACCATCAGATTATAGAATGAACAATGTTTTCGATTTTCGATCAAAAAATCATTTGGAATTCGACCTATATATGGCCTGCTTAAGTTCAGAATATTCAGTTAAGCTTTGGCAATAAAACCTGGGTGCTGATTGGTTTCTATGAAGAGCTGCAACAGATGTTCCACTCTCCAGCTTTAGTAAATGACTCCCTGTGAGTCTGTAGCTGAGGATTGGTTGGCCTTACTCTTAACTGGTTTGTGAGTGATTGTGGGACAGGGGTTTACCTGTGTTTTTCAAATGTTTTTTTGTATGTGTAGGAGAACTTTACATTGCAGGGTCTGAATGTCTGTAAAAGTGGTCACTAAGCCCTAATTTATCTTGGTGCTCAACCCCACTCCACTATTTAACAGGCAAATTTCAGAACCTTGGTAGCCATTAAAAGTGCTTACATGGGACTGTTAAAGAGGACCTGTATTGTGGAAGCTGCGTCCAAAAAAAGTGAGCAGAGGGAAAAGGACTAGTCACCGGTATGGCCTGTAGGTCCCCTGCAGCTGGCATTTACCCCCTTCCTAATCTACAGAATGAATGAATCCAAGGCAAGGAGATCCTTGCACTACAAGTCCTCAGGAACAGCTTCCTCCTAAGCAAGGAAAACAGTGAACAGCAAAGGAATGACAATAGCAAATCTTGGGTGCCAAGCAGTCAGAAGTAGCAGTGCTTTAGGTGATCTCATACTGCAAATATACAACTGTTTGTTAATGGAACAGGAGTACCTGGGTACAATCACATGTTGGGAAGAGCACTGCTGTATTTTTTCAAATCCATTTGTAATAGGGGCAGCGCTTAGTGCTGACTTGGACAGCAGTTAAAGCAAAACTCCAAGAAAAAACGTTTTGCTAACTGTTGATGTGTACAGATAAGAAGTTATTCCCCATTCATTTTTTAATTCATGCTGGGCACTGTGTCTATGAGAGCTGTGGCTCTTGTATAGTGAAGGTATCTCGTTGTTTAAATATCCTTTCCTCTCCCCTTGTCTATTTACAAACACCTTTGTATTCTGCTCAGTGAATACAAGATGTTTTGTGAATAGACATTGGGAGAGGAGGGGCAAGTAAACAACAGGATCTTCCCTTGTTCATTCACAGAACACCTTGTATTCTGTTCACAGAATAGAAGGCATTTTGTAAATGGACAAGAGGAGAGGAAAGGGCAGGTGAACAACAAGATACCTTCATTATATCAGAGCTGGAGCTCTCATAGCTTTCATACCCGCAGTGCCGGAAGTTTAGTGCCAGCTGTACTTTCCAGCATGAATTAAGCTAGGATTTCTACCTTAAAGCGGTTCTTCAGTCAAACCTACAAAAAATAAAATTCTGCAGCTACAAAAACTGTAGCTGCTGACTTCTAAAAAAAACAGCCACTCACCTGTCCCACGATCCAGCGGTGTTCTCACTGCTGCTCCTTTCACCAGATGTCCTTGGTCCCTGGTGCCAGCATCCTAAGTGTGGGCACTCAGCTGTGACAGCTTGCAGCTTCACAACCAGGTGCCCACTGAGCATGTGCAAGTAGCATTGTGCCTTGTGAACGGTCCCCTAGGCTTCTGGGACCTGTCACATGTCCCAGAAGACTACTGTGAGGGTGGACGACTTCATTTTCTGATCACCTAGGCGATCGTAGCAGAAGTGGGAGTGGGTACCTGTCAAAATCAGGTGCCCGTCCCCCCCCCCCCCCCCCCCCCCCGCTCCCCAAAAGTGCCAATCCTTAATGGGCAGCCGGAGACGAGGCCTTAAAGCGGAACTTCCCCTTTTGGGTAGAGCTCTGCTTTAACCAGCAGTGATCCAGATCTAGAATTAGCATTATTAGTGGTACCTTCTTTGTATGCAGCAAACATTAGAACAAAAGGTTTTTTTCTGGAGTTCCACTTTAAGGTTCTGTATTCAGTCTAAAGTAGATCTTCACCCTCTCAAACAACATTGACAATTTTCAATCCTTATGCTTCTAGCATTAGTAAATAGATAGAAAGGTATATCATATTCACTTGTTTTAAACTTTGTTTTACATTTCTTTAGTTACTTCCTGGTTTCCATGCCTAGGCAAATGATGGCATACATCCTAGGAGTCTTGGAGGGGTTTTCTCAACTAAGCACACCCGCCTGTCTGCATGCCTGAGCTAAGGGCAGATGGATTCCATGAAGTAAATGCTACATGAATCATCTGCCCTTACTCAAGATGGCCACAGCCAGAAATGCTAGGAGATCTTTCTCAAAGTGATTTCTCAGCAGAGTAAAGCATGGAGACATGGATGGATGAGTGAGTTTGCTTTGAATATTAAAAATTAGGTAAATATAATTTTTGGTTTGTAGAGCTCAGATGCAGTGCAGTACCACTTTAGGCCTAAAGGAGTTTGTTTGACGGTATACACAGTGATCGTACAGCCTACATTTACCAGTCTTAACCAATCAGCTTCTCACTTAAGCTTGTTCAGTTAAGCTTTGACATAAAAAAAAAAAACCTGGAAGCTGATTGGTTTATATGCAGAGCTGCACCAGATTTTGCATTCTCAAGTTTTAGTAAATCAATCCCATTATCTGGATGGGAGCATATGCTGCTCTAAAACCTGGATATAGATCATTCAGCATTGATGGAGCCTTACCAGATTTGCAAGCTGCCCATTCTATGTGCACTAATGCATCCCCTTGCCATCAGAGATGCAGGCTTTTGAACTGTATAAATGCTGATAATCTAGAAGGTCCCTCTCCCTTTTAGTTTGGAGGACATGGCGCCCATGGTTGTCAAAAAGAATGTCAAATTTTGATTAATATGACCACAGAACAGGTTTCCACTTTGCAACAGACCATTAGAAATGAGTTTTGTCCCAGAAAAGATGGTGCCATTTCCGAATCATGTTCAGATATGGCTTTTTCCTTGCATGGTAGAGCTTTACCTTGAATTTTTGGATGGAACATTGAACTGTGAACATGTTCACAGACAGTGATTTCTGAGCCCATGCAGTGATGTCCATCGCAGAATCATGCCTGCTTTTAATGCAGTGCTGTCTGAGGGCCTGAAGATCACAGGCATCCAATATTGCGTTTCGGCCTTTTCCCTTGCCCACAGAGATTTCTTCATATTCTCAGAATCTTTTGATGATATTATGTATTGTAGATGATGATATATTTGAAATTTTTGCAATTTTACTGAAATTGTTCAATTATTTGTAGACACAGCTTTTCACAGATTGGTAAACCTCTGCCCATCTTCTACTCTGACTCTCTAAGATGCCCTTTTTATACCCAGTCATGTTACTGACTTGTTGCCTGACTTGATAACCTAATTAGTTGCAAAATGTTCTTCCAGGTCTTCCTTATTAGTACCACTTACTTTCCCATCTTTTTGTTGCCCTTTCCCAACTTTTTTGAGACATGTTTCTGCCATCAGTTTCAGAATTGCCTTATTTTTTTTCTTAAAATGGTACATTTTGTCAGTTTATACATTTGACGTTTTCTATTGTCAATAAGATATGGGTTTATGAGATTTGCAGATCATTGCATTCTGATTTTATGTACAGTAGAATTTACACCGCGTCCCAACTTCTTTAGAATTGGGGCTGTACATGTAAACAAATTTGTTTTATTTTCTTCAGCGATGTATATTAATTACATTGCTATTTTTACATTTGTAAAAAACAAAAATATATTAATAATTGTTTATATTGGGCCTAAAAAGTGTTTGTAGTAGTTTCCATTCTGGCTTATTTCATAAGACACAGTATTGGATGTGATCCATTGCTGTTTAGTGGACTTTATAGTTGATAGATATTTGCTATTAAAAGATTTCTCTACGGGCAATATGCCTTTGTATAATTATTATTAGGTCTATCAAAAAATGGAGTGCAAATACAGTTTTTGACATTACATATCGTCTGACACATCAAGTCAATTTCTCCACTTTCAATTTCAATTTTTTTTTTTTTTTATTTAATTTTGAGATCTGTTCCTTTACCCCAGATAAGAACCCCTGCTCTAAATGGTAAATCTGATGTGCAACTCGTACTTACTTCTACATGTTCACGTAACAATGATTTAAAAAAGTAGGGCCAAAATTCTTTTGGCCCTATTTGTCCTGTAGGTCACAGGAATGCACTTAGTTCTTCACTCCTGTGACCCGTATCCAGCCAACATCGGACGGAAGATCATTGTTGGCTATCATCAGTGAGGCCGTTGGGGCTCTGGAGAGATCCTGACTAATGTCAGGATCCACCCAAATGCTTGGACTGGCAGCTGGCTCAGCCTCTCAGCGAGCCACTGAGAGCCTGATCCAGTCTCTCTCACCCCCACCACAGCCCAGAGCTCCAGTGAGCACTGGAGGGGTAAAGTGATCATTTAAATGACTGCAATGTGCTCACGGAAGACTGAGAGTGGACTGATCAGATGTCTTTGATCATTCAGTTCTCAATCTTAGAGGAGGCGGGGGACAGATGCAGCATCAATAGGATCCACCTAGGTGAGTATTTATTTTTGATTTTAATTCCCAAACCTCTCTTTTATTTATCCTATGTTTAAAATAAAGTGTTGTCTTATTTAGGGCTCGTGCATATGAGCGTACAATAGTCTGTGTTCAGATCTGTAATGTATATGAATTTGAAAGCAGCAGTATTGTATGCTATGGGGCAATTCACACAGCTCCATTTTGGTTCATAGCATTCAGCTACATAAGCCAAAACTAGAAATCTGCATTCACAGTCTGATTTGGACATGCTGTGCACATGTAAATATTTCTGCTGATGTTTACAAGAATTTCATATAAATGTACCATGCATCAATGCTGTAAATCAGGGGTCTCCAAACTGTTCGAGCAAAGGGCCAGTTTACTGTCCTTCAGACTTTAGAAGGGCCATATTGTGTCCAGTGGAGGTATTAAATGTCCTGGGCCCAGCATTGGTGAGAATAAACATGGCCTCAGGGTTAGTGGTCAGTAGGATGAGGAGTGGTGCCCCCATCATTGGTGTCATTGGTAGGAATAGCGCCCCATCATTGGTGTCAGTGGGAGGACTAGCGCCCCATCATTGGTGTCAGTGGGAGGACTTGCGCCCCATCATTGGTGTCAGTGGGAGGAATAGCGCCCCATCATTGGTGTCAGTGGGAGGAATAGCGCCCCATCATTGGTGTCAGTAGCGCCCCATCATTGGGAGGAATAGCGCCCCCCCATCATTGTCAGTGGGAAGAATAGCACCCCATTATTGCTGTCAGTGGGAGGAATAGTGCCTCATCATTGGTGTCAGTGGGAGGAATAGCGCCCCATCATTGGTGTCAATGGGAGGAATAGCGCCCCATCATTGGTGTCAGTGGGAGGAATAGCGCCCCATCATTGGTGTCAGTGGGAGGAATAGCGCCCCATCATTGGTGTCAGTGGGAGGAATAGCGCCCCATCATTGTTGTCAGTGGCAGGAATAGTGCCCCATCATTGGTGTTAGTGGGAGGAATAGTGATTCATGTAATTGGGAGGAAAAGTACCCCAAGGGCTGGATAAATGGCTAGCAAAGGACCGCATCCTGCCCTCGGGACACAATTTGGAGACCACTGCTGTAAACAACAACAATGTCCAGGCCCAGACAGCAGCACAGTCCCAGAATGACTGAAGTCCATTCTGCACCAATGCCTCTGCCCATTGCACACTATTGATGTTTACCTGTTGCCCTGAATGTGTCCTTTATAGGGTGGTGGCATAGCGGCTGCATGAACCCGACCTTCAGTCATTGAAGATCATTCTACACCTGCACCACTGCCGCATGAATGGCTCATTGTAGACACCAGTAGTGCAGGCACAGAAGGCATGCATCTCATACAGTGGTAAGCAGGTGTATCTCCATATACGTTCAGATTCAATATTGACAACTGTTTACACCACCAGCAAGGTCCTGGCTGTGTGTATGAGGCCTCATTGCCTTCCTAAAATCTGTGTTTACAAGTCATCTCCAGGGACCAGTAACACACCCCAGGCTTCTGCCCAATAAGAATTCCCTTCTCCTGGCATTGAAAACATTGTAACTCTGTCAAAAATATTTGCTTGCAGTGACCTTGTATCCTGTACATATGTCATCCCGGAGAGGTGCAGTGTTTCCTGGCTCATTATCATCACATGGAATAGGTTCGCATTTTTCTAGCTGTGGCTCTATAGGTAAACCTACACCAATCCTTCAACAAATCCTATTTGCTTCATTTTTTTTTTTTTTTTATAGCAAATGTGTCTTACATTCTTGGATCTGTTGCTTGTACCTGCAATGGACAAAGCACAGCTGTACTTGTGGACAGGTTTCTTTCATAGGAGATGTCCAGGTTTGCAGATCTTTTGATATTTTTCAGTGCCAACAGCTGGCACTGTTCACACTTGATCATAAATCCAAGATTTAAAGTGATGGTAAAGGTTGAAATTTTTTTTCATAACAAAATAGTAAACTTGTAATGCTTTCCTGCCCAGTGCTATGGTTTTACACAGAGCAGCCCCGATCCTCCTCTTCTGGGGTCCACTGCCAGCGCTTTTCCCCTCCGCCAAGTTCCCCCATAGGATGGCGCTTCCAATAGAGGCACTCGTGCATGCTCGATCTCAAGCCGGGCTGTTTGTGTCTATTCAGACACACAGCCTTAGGGCCTTGAGTGGGGGGCTCAGCGTTGCCTCCTGCTCTCTGCTCACAGGTTTTGACTGACAGCAGAAGGAGCCAATTGTTCTTAGCCAAGCCTGTGAGAGCCAGGAGACATGCACAGCGCTGGACCGAGATCGGGCTCAGGTGAGTATTTAGGGGGACTGTGGGGGAGCTACTAATGAAATGTTTTTTACCTTATTGCAGAGAATTCTTTAAAGTAACAAAAACTTTTACCTTTACAACCACTTTAGAGAAGTACAGCCAAAACTCTCTTGGCTGTACTTCTCCTGCGGATCACAAGAGTGCAGTCCTGTGACCTGTTTTCAGCTGACAGCAGGCTGAAGTCGCTCAGTTGGTCCAGGCTGGGGAAAGCTTCTCACTTTAAAGTCAGGTTCCACCCCAGAGTCTGGAGCGGCACCTGGCTCAACCTTTCCTCGATCTCCAGTGAGTGCGGGGGTGTTGGAGCAGAGAGCGGTGACTGACAGTCACGCTCTCTGCTCAGAGCGGCTGTAAGAACACTGTAGTGCGGTTTCCAGTGCAGGCTGCAATTTATGGAAATGTTCAGAAACCTTTTCCCTGCATTTTGCTAGGCACGGCAGCAATTCAAAGTAGAGTGTTCTCTGCCTTTCATCCTATATTCTGGGTATAGGAGAAGTGAATGGTATTTGTAGTCCCGTCCTAGCATGACAAAGCTGGTCCTTTATAGATACAATAGGTACAGCATGTATAAGTAAATGTAATCCTAGGACAGAAAGCGTGTTATTGACATGTTTACCAGGTGAAAGTAAAGGAAAAAATACCTGAACAAAAAGAAAACCAATGTAGCCACCACATTGAAGGACTGTAAGTTGCAACATTATTATATTTTTGTTGCTTGGTTTAGATACACATTACCACTTTTGAAATGGGGAGTTGTTAATTTTTCATAATCTGCATTTTTTTTACTTCCAGTAAACCTCCAGACAATGAAATACAGTATTTTCTGAAAGCAGAGGCCCTGTCAAATAAATCTTGTCAGCTGTTTGTCAAATGCACATATTTAGGAAAAATACACTAAAATAAATTTTAATGCACACAAACAGAATATAACACCTGATTATTTTGTAAAATATAATAGATGGTGGTGTGTGCAGTAAAGAGATAACATGTCAAGGCTTAAAACTGCATGCACCCATGAAATAGCAGAAGACTATGAGACCCAAGACCCAAAAGGGCATCCCCCCCCCCTAATACTCACCTAAGCCCCCTTTCGATCCAGCGATGTGCACGGAGTCTCGGCTATCCGGGATTACCTCTCCTTATTGGCTGAGACCGCAGCGGGAGAAATTGGCTGATACCGCAGAGAGAGCCATTGGCTGCTGTTAATCACAGCCAGTGAGCCAATGAGAAGGGCTCACTGGCTCACTGGGGGGGGGGGCCAGCCGCGGCTTCATGTGGGAATGGACACCCAGAGCAACGGGTGCCCCCAAGCTGCTTGATGTGGGGGCAACCAACAGGAGGGAGGGGCCAGGAGTGCTGGCGGGGGACCTGAGAAGGGGAGGATCCGGGCTGCTCTGTGCAAAACAACTGCACAGAGCAGGTAAATATAGACATGTTTGTTGTTTAAAAAAAATGTAAGGCTTTAGAATCACTTTAACTGTGAATGATGACCCTAGAATGATTGCTTTTATGTGTGGTATGATTGCTGTTTGCCTACATGTGCGCACCTTAAAGAGTTGCTCCAATTTTTGTGAAAAAAACATTCCCTTTGGATGATCTGTGTATATTGCAAGGAGTTTAATAAACTTTGTTGCAGATTCCTACCTTTTGTCATTCTGCAGAAATAACTGTTTGTTTGTCTGCGTCCATGCGCACAGTGAATCTTTATGGGAGTGGTTTCATAATTATCAAAAAGCTGCTGCACCTGCAGAGCTCTAATGAGGAGAGTATCTGGGTCTGCATCCCCTTAGATGTGCTTCCCTTTGGGAGTATCTCACCTAAAATGACATTTTTGTTGCAGAAGATGCTCAAAATCTCATTTGTATCTTAGTGCAGATTTCTGGGAAAATCAGTGAGCCAATCACCCAAGCAGAAAATTACATTTCTGGGGGGGGTGTTCTGTACACCATCTGTGTACAGAATGCCTCCAGGTTGCCTTTTACAGAAAATGATAGCACTGAAAATTGAAAAGGAAAGGTAAGTTTTAATAACATTCAATCAATGACTTGTGTAGCAATTGTATATCATAAAAATATATATACATATTATATATGTATGTGTGTGTGTGTGTATATATATATATGTGTGTGTGTGTGTGTGTGTGTGTGTGTGTGTGTGTATATATATATATATATTAAAATTTTTGTTTGCCATTTACTTTTTTTTTTTTCCCTGAAAGTGGAGTTACCCTTTAAGTGTTTGCATTGTGGTGTGTGCATGCAACATTAGTACTGTAAAAAAAAATTCAGTTATTTTTTTATTTAACTATTTAAACACTCTTTCATTTTTTTTTTCATTTAACTTTAATTGCTGTCACAAGGGGGGGTCATTCAGAAGGGATTCATTCATCACAGAGGATATTGGGGTTCCTCTTAAGAAGAGGAGAACCCAGAAATCTCCACAAGCAGCAGTTGGGGGCAAGAGAATGGTATGTTCAGGATGCTGAAAAAGTTACTGGGTGGCTCTAAAGCTATCCGGATCGTGGAAATTGGGAACCTGCTGAAAAAAAAAAACACCACCAAGCTCACAGCTGCAGCTTGTTTTAACCTCTTGAATACTAGGACATTTATAAACATACCTTGGTAGACAAGGGGTTAAACTAACATCCTAATAAATGACACCAAAGGATTCCCTAAAGTCTTACTGTAATTTCCTTGACATGAACACTAACCCAAAAATAACCCTGAGAAAGATTTATCATTGCAGACCTCTGTTACTGAAAATACTTAATGTCTGGCTGTCATCCTTTTCCAATTGTTGTAATGAAGCCTAAGTCATTGACTCAAAACTAGTATGTAAACCAGGAGTTCTGATTTCAATGGCTGCTTGCTTGTTCAAGATCAATGACTTGGAAAATATTAAACCTGAGTAAATATTGAAGTTATCAAATCAAAAGTTATTGTCAGAAGGAGATCAGTGGGGGCAGCCCTCTTTTTTTTCCTCACTGTACAGGTTTTATGTCTCATGCCTAATGATGTTTGAAAGATTTTGGTGCTAAAACTCTTGATCTGCCCTTCTGACTCAGTTGTCCTTTTTTGTAAATATTTGCTATTACCTGGTCTCCATTGCATCTAATTACCTAAATTTCAAAATAACTGTTTAAAAGAGGAGCTTCACCCTATGGGATTAATTTTGCTTTTAACCCTCTCTTACCTCGTCTTCCGCGCGTTGTGCTTTAATAGTTAATAGCCTTCTCATACTCCCTGGAAATCCAGTGCTGTCCTGCTGTGTACCATTCCATGCCACCCTTTTTCTTTCTTTCTTTACATCATCAGCTGGTTGTTTCTTTCAGGCTCATGCAGCCGGCCCCCGATGACATGCAGCCCCCGATGACATGCTGTCAGGAGGCTCCCAGAGTTAAAGTGTTTCTAAAGGCTCAAGGTTTTTTCCTTCATGCATTCTATGCATGAAGGTAAAAAAACC